CGGCCACCGCAGCCTCGACCCGCTGGGCTCAGGCGATCCTTTCGCCTCAACCTTCCAAGTTGCTGGAACTGCAAGCGCATGCCACCACGCCCAGCTTATTTTTGAATTTATTGTGGAGACGAGGTCTCACCATGTTGCCCTGGCTGGTCTTGAACCCATGAGCTCAGGTGATCCTCTCGCCTCCGCGTCCGAAAGTGCTGGGATGACAGGCGTGGACCACTGTACCCAGCGTTTTAAAAGTTCTTTTATAGAGACGAGATCTCACCGTGCTGCCCAGGCTGGTCTCGAACTCCTGGGTTCAGGTGATCCTTCCACCTCGGCCTTCCGAGTAGCTGGGATTACAGGCCGTTCTCCACCACGCCTGGCTCATTTTTATTTTCATCTTTTTCACAGAGATGAGGTCTCACTATGTTGCCCAGGCTGGTCTCTACCTCCCGGGCTCAAGCGATCCTCCCGCCTCGGCCTCCCAAAGTGCTGGGATGATGGGTGTGAGCCCCCGTGCCTGGCCAGAGATCGTTTCTTGCCTGGCTTTGGGCAGCCTTGAGCGCCACTCCCGGCCACCTCTGCTCTGGGAGAGGGTCTGGCCTTCGCAGGCGTGACCTTCAGGGTCAAGACATTTCATGCTTCTGGTCAGTTTCTTTCCTGGGAAGATTTGCCCGCTCAGAGGGAATGAGGACGAAGCTCCCCTGGGAGGCTTCCTGGGTGACGTCGGCCGTTCCCTGGGCCGCAGTTTCCCAATCTGTGAAATGAAGGCTGGGTCCAGCTGGCCCCTGGGTGTCCCTGGTCCTCTGAAAGCCATGACGGTAACATTGCTGGCCACCCTCCCCGATCAAAGCGAAGAATCTTTCTAAGAGAAAGATTTCTGAAAAGAACAACCATGCGGGCCTGGCTGCCACATGTGGAGAGAGGGGCTTGGCTTCCCTCCGCCGCCCTGCCGATGGCTGTGTGCCTCCCGGCTGACATCTTAACCTCTCTGTGTGGGATACCCTTCCTTCCGTGAATATTGGGGGACAGGCCCCAGCCTACAGAGCTGTGACTGCACAGATTAATCAAGAATCCATAAACGCTTCTAAAACATGTTAAGAGCTGGGAAGACAGCAGATTACCTTAGGGAACCCTGGAACCCATCGTGAGTGTTTAAAATGAAGTCGGGGTTGGCTTGGTATTTCATCCACAGGACCCGCCATGTCCTTGAATAATACTTGCTTTGGGTCCAGTGAAAAGAATGCCTTTGAGTATTTAGACCAAACAGCGAGTCCATTAGGGAGCCCAGGTGATAAACCCTGCTTCTCGCCGGGCGCAGTGGGGCTCACGCCTGTCATCCTAGCACTTTGGGGGGCTGAGGCGGGAGGATCGCTTGAACCCAGGAGGTCGAGACCAGCCTGGGCAGCACAGCGAAACCTCATCTCTACAAAAAGTAAAAAAAATAATCACAGAAATCACTGGCCGTGGTGGTGTGCACCGGTAGTCCCAGCTACTAGGGAGGCTGAGGCAGGAGGATCTCCAGAGCCCAGGAGGTGGAGACTGCAGTGGGGAGGTGAGAGCGTGCCACTGCCCTCCAGTGTGGGCTCTCGGGTGAGACCCTGACTCAAAAATAAAACTTAAGCCGGGCTCGGTGGCTCAGCCTGTCATCCCGCGCCTTTGGGAGGCTGAGGTGAGTGGATTGCCTGAGCCCGCGGGTTCGAGACCCGCCTGGGCAGGTCAGACCTCATCTCTACAATAAATCAAAAAATCAGCCGGGTGTGGTAGCGCGCGCTTGTAATTCCGGCTCCTTGGAAGGCTGAGGCGGAAGGATCGCCGGAGCCTGGCGGGTCGAGGCTGCGGTGGCCGGGAGCGGCCACTGCACTCCAGTCTGGGCGACAGAGTGAGACTCCAACTCAAACAAAAACAAAAACAAAACCTTAAATCATAGCATAAACCCTGTTCCACCCCACGTAGCTGGCTCGTCCCCCGAAAGCCATGGCAAATGCTCCCTGGGACCCTCTCTACCCCACCCAGTGAGTCTTGAGGTCTCACTCAACACGGGTCATCTATCTGGGTCTCAATCCACCTTCCCGAGAGTGGTCCCCTGGGAGTGTCCAGGGGGTGGGAGGGACCTTAAGGAGCTCTGGCGTTCAGGAAACGGCCACTTGAACCCAGCCAGGACGCCAGGTTTCTCCCCGACTCTGTGGGGGCAGCAGGTATCCACTGGCCCTTGGGGTTTTCTGGCTCACCTGGTCTTAGATGGATTCCTGCTGGCTTTGTGTGCGGCCCCGCCCACCCGCCCTGCGGCTTTCTGAACAATACTGCTACTATGTGGGTTGCTTTCAGCCTGTCATTTTATAACTGGAGGCCCAGGCCGCTCCTTGGAGCAGAGGCTGGGAAGGCCAGATCTTATGCCCCGAGCTCTCCGGGTGTCTGGTCTGGGACGCGCCCTCCACATCACTCTTTCCTGCTTGGACCTCTCATGCTTGTCCAGAAGCTCTGTGGTCCGGTCCTTCCCGCCGAGCCAGGACCGTTCCTTATCATTGGCCCACGAAGCCTCAGTTTCCCCACTGGAAAGGCGGAGACATCACTGGGTTATCATAGATCCCCCTTGCAAAGTGCTTGATTCAGAGTCCGGCATGGGGCACATTTTTATTGGCCGATATTCTATCACTTTCCTGTTCATACTAAGGCAGAAAGAGCAGCGTCCAAGAAGAAGAATGACCCTTGCCAAGTCTGATCAAACGCTCTGTTATACACACCCTTTTAAAAGTTTATGTTCTCGGCCGGGTGAGGTGGCTCATGTCTATAATCCCAGCACTTTGGGAGGCAGAGGTGAGAGGATTGCCTGGGCAACTTGGCGAGACCTCGTCTCGACAATACATCAAAATACTAGCTGGGCGTGGTGGTGCACGCCTGTAGTTCCAGCTACTTGGAAGGTTGAGGCAGAAGGATCACCTGAGCCCAGCAGGTCAAGGCTGGACTCAGACAATCCTCTCGCCTCTGCCTTCCTAGGTGCCAGGATGACAGGCATGAGCCACCGCACCTGGCCCAAAAAATTTTTTTAATTAAAAAAAGAGGCAAACATAAGGACGTGGGTTCCAGTCACAAAAAGAGATGTCATTTTTCCAATAGATGACCCCCCGATTTCATTGGCAATGTGTCTTAAGAGCGAAAAGAGGCCGGGCTTGGTGGCTCAGCCTGTCATCCCAGCACTTTGGGAGGCCGAGGCGAGTGGATGGCCTGAGCCCGCAGGTTCGAGACCCGCCCAGGCAGCTTGGCGAGACCTCGTCTCTACAATAAATCAAAAATGAGCTGGGCGTGGTAGCCCGCGCCTGTAGTTCCAGCTCCTTGGAAGGCTGAGGCGGAAGGATTGTCAGAGCCCAACAGGTCGAGGCTGCGATGGCCGGGAGCGGGCCACTGCATTCCATTCTGGGCGACGGAGTGAGACTCCAACTCAAAAAACAGAGCGAAAAGAGGCTTTTTAGCAGTTGTTTTGGCCATTTTAAAAATGAAGCATCATTGTGGGGGGTGTCATTTTCAGATAAGTTTGGAAAGGCTGCATTCTCTCGTCCCCTCTTGGACATCAACTCACAATGCACAATAAAGGCTCTGAGAAGGCCTGCATTTAAAAAAGAAAGAAAACGTCATTGTGGTATAGACATGGTGGCTCGAGTTTCCAAAGCGGCTGAAGCTGAGCTCTCCCCGGGTCCCTGCTGCAGTCCCTGGGATCATAAATTGTTTTACAAGGGCCGCCTGGAAGCCCCGAAAGGCTCCTCCAAGCTGACCCAGCCCTAAGGTTTTCACTGCTGACCTGGAGCTGGGCAGGGCCAGAGGCTATTAAAAGGCCGTGGGCACACTCGGCGGGAGGTGTGCGTGGGTCCCCGCCAGCGAGGTTAGCAGGCAGAGCTGCTGGCGTATCTGTTTCAGGGGGAGAGTCGCTCTTGGCCGTGAACCTTTCCCGGGAGTGTGCTCAGAGGACAAGCAGCAAAGGGCTTGCAGGTATAAGACGGCCCCAAGACAGTCGCGTTGCACCGTCGCACCGAGTGGGAGCGCCGTTCGGGGCCCCTGCGCGGCTTCCCGGGGCGGGGGGGTGGAGAATCCACAGAACCGGTCCCAGACTCCAACTCTCTGTGACTTCCTCTGAGATGACGCCTCTGTGTTTGACGCCGGGTGTCTCGACCTTGGCACCATCGACCGGACATTTAATGGCAGCCCTGGCCTCTGCCGGGTCGGTGACAGCCCCCAGGTTGTGAAGACCAAAAACAATTCCCCCAACCTTGCCAAGTGTCCCCGGAGGCCAAAGTCACCCGCAGTTAGAACCCCTGGTCTAAAGGCTGGATGGGGCCGGGGGTTCCGAAAAAGGCTTCATTCTCTAGCACCCTCTTGGACATCAGCTCACAATGCGCAATAAAGGCTCTGAGAAGGCCTGCATTTAAAAACGAGGGCGAGGGAAGGGGACGGTGAATAAGGAGGTCTTGTGTGGGATGCCGGTCACCTCCTAGCCCGGACCAGGCAGCCTCCTGGGGGTCACCGACCCAGCAGGTGTGCCCTGGCCCTTGTGCCCAAGGGCGTGGGTGGGTGGGTGGCGCTGTGCTGCTCGTGGGTGGGCGGGCTGTGATCCTCTCACGGACGTGAGCCCCCGTGCCTTTCTGTTTCGCTGAGTCAGAAGACTTTCGGTCATCTTGCGGCATCGCGTGATGCCAGGTGGCGATGACGTCCCCAGAAGGTGACCTGGGCAAGCGCCCAATGGGGGCTGGTTCGTAGGGACCAGATGACACCCGTGTCCATCTCCTGATACTCCTGTAACAAAGGGACACAGACTGGGCCACCGTTCTGAAGGTTGGAAGTCCAAAATCAAGGTGTCAGCGGGTCACACACCCTCTGGAGGTCACGGGGGAGGGTCCTCCCTGCCTCTTCCAGCTTCTGGGGACTCCAGCATCCCTTGGCTTGTGGCCACATCACTCTGATGTCCCCTCTGTCTTCCCCTGGCCTCCTTCTCCTCTGTGTGGCCTCTTCTTTGAGGGACACCCGTCATTCCATCGAGGGCCCCCCTAAATCCATCATGACTTGATCTTAACCTGGTCACGCCTGCAAAGACCCCGTTTCCAGCCCAGGTCCCCTTCACAGCTACCTGGGGTTAGGACTTGAGCCTGTCTTTACGGGACACAGCTCAACCCCCACACTAGCCGAGATGTGCATGGACTGGCAGCCCCGGAACAGGCTGGCTGGGCAGGGCGGACCGTCTCAGCGGGGGGTCTGGACGACTGGGTGGCAGTGCAGCTGGCCTGTGGGAGTGACCGGGCCCGGCCTTGGCCCAGTCGGCCTCGCTGCGGGGCCCAGGATGTGCACGGGAACCCCTGGGTGGGGCGGTCTTCTCCGAGTGCAGGCTCTGACCCCGCAGGTCTGGGGGCCCAGCTCCCGGGTGGTCGGGGCACTGGGCCTGGACCGAGCTTTGAGGCCTGAGGAGCATGGGGAAAGCAGCTCCCAGGAGCCAGCGGAAGTGTCCCCAGGGAAAGCCGTGGTGTCCACACGAGGTCCCAGCCCGCCACCCAGAAGCCCAGAGGCAACCTGCACCCGGGTCCCGGCACCAGCTCCCAGCACCAGCTCTCCA